ACCAAGCGCAAAATGATCCGGTCATCCGCCAGGAAAACATCGTGCTCGGACAGGAGTTGTCGCCGACTCTCAAAGCTCTGATATCTGGCCTTCAATTTGGAGTAGCCGATAACCCGATCAATGCGGGAAGTAAGATGTTCAGGGAAAGAAGGATCGGTAACAATGTTCTTGACTGAGCGCTGAGGGTCGGCGGTGATAAGGCAGACACTGAGGTTCGGGGAGTCATTGAGGGAGTGTGGGACGGTAATCTTGCCGGGCTTCAGGCGGTTCTTGTCGACAACGTGCTTCTTAGTGGTGACCACGAGCCAGACAGCCTCGTTGTTGAGTGGAGTTTCATCGTCGGACTCGTCGTTGTCTCCAATAAGGGTCTTCTTGGTCGCAGACTTCTCTTTTTCCACCTGCTTCGATTTGATGTGTCGCAAAAGCGCAGAAGAAGCTTTGGAAACCTGCAGGCGTATCGTTAGCTACTGAGATCACGTTTGCCATTGTTGACCCGGGACATTATCGGTTACATACCTGGGTCTTCTCGAGTTGGTAGGGGGACCCGGAGGCCACCTTAGTAGTGACCGCTGTTGAGGACACCATTTTGCTATCTTATGTCGATTGCTGCAGATTTCGACTTGTCTCGAATTCTGCGATAATGGAAATCAAAAAAATTCACGGGAAGGCGGTGGGCAAATTTGTCCGGTCTTGGCATCGACCTCAATCGTGGATTAGTCATTCATGCTCTCAATGCGGTAGCAATCAGCTACTACTGCAGGTCTACTCTTCATGATCGTCGCTCTAGTCTAAACGTTCGGTGGAATGTGTCATTCAATATGATAGACGTATAAAAGTGTATCCTGTACCGGTGATTACAATTTGACTTGGGATACATCAGACTCCTCGTGTTGTCCGTGAGACGAAAAGAGATAAACTAGGCAGCCAGTATGCTAAGCCAATGGTACTTACAAGTAAATCGGACGTCTAGAAAAGGAGCAAGGGGGAAAAAAAAAGAAAAAGAAAAAGAAAAAAAAAGGGCAGGGAAAAAGCCTCGGATGCAGCTCTCAATCGTGCATTGGAATAGAGTCGTTGTTGCCTACTGTCGTCCAAGGTGTACGTGGAGCCCGGAAGCTCGGCTTGTTGTCGTTGACTCCATGAAGGTTGAGGGGAAATATTAAACCCCGTCCTTTGAATAGTACTCCGCATTCCATGGACGTTTGATTCTATAGGGCAGAACAATCAGTGTAGCCGAAATTATATATCTCGATTCAATTTATACACATCCATGTATCATGGTTAGATACCAATCCTGAGTTTTCTAGGCATGATACGCCCCCTTATGTGGGGAACACGTCAAGCTAATATTTTTGAGAATTTATTTTCTTGCTCAATGGGCTGACATTTTCTAGAGACTGCCCTGGTGCCTACTTGAGAGCAGATATAAAATGTAACAAAGAGAGAGAAAAAAAATGGCCCTAGTAAAATACGTTGAAAACAGCGGGAAGATAATTATATACTCGTTCTGGTGTAGCTGTACTCCGTAAAGGTGTAGCGCTCCGAATCCCCACTACAAGCCACCCAATATCCATGGTTCGACCACAAAATCAGCAGAGTGTATGGAGTAAAAGGCACTAGAAAAAAAAAAAAAAATCAATTATTAGATGCAAAGTGTTGCACGTTACGGAGTATACGGAGCCTAGCCGGTAGATACCCCTGACGACTGATAGCTTCCCTGGTGCCCCACGGGACGAGATGGAGTACGTAACAACGGAAGATAAAGCCACGCAAGTGTGATGCTATTCGCAAACTCTTCGCATGGACTACTATAGGATCACTTCAGAGTTCGAACCGGTGGGAACCCGGAGGTCGTCTCTAGCGTAATATTGAACATGACGCATACGTGCTAACATTTCATAGGAGAGTATCGGCACGATGGCCAACGCGATAACCATGCTAGCGATAAGAAGGAAAATTCCCCTTAAACAAATTATTGTTCCATACTTTGCCAAATTGACTAACGGGACTAGCGAAGTAAAATCGTTATGGCGATGGATACGTCCACGCCTTAGTCTGCTCCATAGGGAATAATAGGACGATTCCTCGGAGAAAAGCGGTTTTCATAGAGAAGACTAAACAACGCTTGTATCTCACTTTATCAAGTGCCAAGCGGCTTGCATTGGAGGTTTTCGCAGGGTCTTCGGCTCACTGTGCGCAGCCTGCCGTGTATGTGTAACTGTCAAGTGGGCACACGACTGGTCTAGAGTGATGGAGAGGTATTTACTCGGCAAGTCTATTGATGTTTGTCTCCACGGCCAGGTCTTAGCACTTACTTGGCACTACACCGACGTTTCCAGCAAAGACATACCATACCTCCGTACAGCGAACGTTCCTTCTCTCATCGTACGACCAAGCTAATATAGGAGGAATTGACGATAGCGTCGGTAGACCCGCGAAATCAGCTATCGAGTTTGCCCATGGGTTCGTCGCAAGGTTTTTATCTCGAATGGATGTAGTCCGATTAAAGAGGCCAAAGATGCGCTATCTGCCTCCTATTCGTGAGATAATATAGTGGCTGTGTGGCTGTTGGGTGACAGCCGGAATTCACGTCATGAAGAATCCAAACTGTCCTGTTGACTACTGTAATTAATTAGGATATCGATGTAGTGGCGCTGTAAGGAATGGCATAAGAATGCTACAAATTCCGGGCCACATGGTTCAAGAGTGGGATCTGCAGGTACGCTCGTCCATGTATAGGCTGATGACCAGTATTCTGATGCTTAGCAGCTGATCACGAGCATCACTAGAGGATGGATATGTGTATGTAAATTCTTGTGCCGTACAGCAGTAAGTCAAATACAGACGCCATGCATGATCCTAGAAAGAAGTATGTAATGTCTGAGTTGCAGGGCCTGAAGGATACCCCTAGTTCCAGCAAGGGCATAGGCGAGTCGGATGATATGAACATTTTTGTTCTGCAAGGCGCTCAGATCTTTCTTTCTACTTGTGTTATTTACCCTGCAGCATCCGAAATCCTAGGCACTTTTATGTGGCTGGGCACCCTTGAGAACACAGGTAATATCCGCTTGTAGGAGACATTCCTACCTAGGCATGTTTTTTTTTTTACCATTATGTCAGATGAGATCACGCTGCATGTCGGTAAGCCCAGCCCTCCTTAATTCATCATGTGAGTTTGGTTGGGTATCTGAATCAATCGCGCATGATTTTCTATGTCTGTACTCCGTAAAGTGTACAGTATATATAGGGTTATACAGAAGATAGGATGTGTGATGTGTTCATGCGGGGCCCGTTTTAAAGATGATGATACTCATCTTACATCAGCTTCGTGATTTGGTAACCGTCAATGTTGTAAAATAAATAGGGTGGCTGACAGCGCACCATGCATTGTAGTTTTCGTGGAGTAAAAGGAGAATGATAATTATATGAATAAAAAAAAAAAAAACAGCAAAACAGTTCACTAATGCGTTATCGCAAGGGGCTCAGCAGTGTCTGGAGCCTGGTAACTGGATATGTTTATGATGAAGAACGGTAGATACTCCGCAACAGTCTCCAAGTCTAGTCGATTTGAAAGAACGTTGGTAGCGGGAGATCCTCTATCTATCTTTTTTTTTTCTATTTCATTTCATTCATTCATCTTAATTTTAATTTAATTTTATTTTTATTGATTTATTTATTTATTTATTTTTTTTGCAAAAAAAAAACCTTTCCATCCCGATCGTTGCATGGAAGATGATCTGGAAGCCTGCAGTGAACGCAGATCCCAGTGGACTCTCTGCCGCGCCAGAGTGGTAATGGTGCGTACAGTGCGTACATCTATTACTAGTAGTGGTAAGATGGGTACGGCTACCCCGACGGCTATTAATACATACTCCGCTATAACATACAGTTGGACGGTCGAGGCTGGTCGGATTGATTGATAGAGTAAAAAGTAAAAGAAATATGATGGAAAGAGGACCGATTTCTACGATGCCTTCCAGACTCTGCCCCTTAATGGGCCAGTCACGGGCACGTTGCGCTACCGTACGGCCGTGCAGTAGGCAGATTCGAAATCATGACCAAGGCAAACACTCGGGATATTATTGACGTTTGGTTTTTGGGTCCATTTAGAGTGATCTATTGGTAGATAATGAACAACAGAAAAAGGATTAGCAAACTAGAAAAATGCCCATATTACTCTTCTACTTCTCCCTAACCATGGTCGATAGGTAAAAAGGTACCTCAGCCTTGAGGGGCTTTTTCAGGAAGCTGCTAATAATACCGGCGGCCCTAATGCAGCCAAACGTAACGATCGGAGATGAGACACTCGAATTTTGTGGCAATGGTTCGGGACCTCAGCCTGCGGTTGATTGGTGTACCTGACTGAGGGGAAAGTCAATTTTCCACCAGCCAATGCCTGTGTGGCCGTGCTGATTGGCTAGACCAGGCCCAGAGTAATTTCGGCAACCGCCAAGCTTGCATTCAGGAACAGGAAACTTCCAAACATGAAAAGGAAGTCTAAGGGGAAAGAGAAAAGGAAAAATCAACCACCTTTGCACGGCGGCCTTTTGACGTGGTATTGGAGAGGTTCCAGACAATTCCTAGGGCAGGAGAGAGGTATTGAAATGAACGATACTCGTGAGATACTGAAAATTAGTTGAGCTTAGTAAATTAGTCAAATTACTACCACAATTCTGGACGGTTGTGGACACGTCTCCCTCGGCGTCCCCCACTTCCAAAGGCCCCCATTCTCAGAGGTTCTGATGATGTTCGTGGATAGTGCCTTGGGCCAATTCCTGTGGTGTTTCCACCCCCCTATTCCTCGTATATCCACTCCACTTGTTGTGGTAGGTCAGTCCGACTGCAGATGTGTACCTATATCGGGACGGTACGGTACGTATGGTACGGTATTACTCCTAAACAACAACTCTAATTACAATGTCTTGAGTCTTGGAAGTGGAACCCCTATTATTATTGTGGTGACTATTGCCTCTCTCTTTGTCTGTCTGCCCATCACTGACAGTGCCACACGCGCACACACACTCTTTAGTTTAGTTTAGTTTAGTTCCCCCTGGAAGGGTCTGCACGTCTTGTCCCTCTTTTAGCCCCTGGGCGACTGACCGACGAAGTTTAATTCTCTCTTTTCATCTCCCTCTCAACTCCCTCTGTTCCTCGCGATCCTCCACATTTTACTCCTCTTCCCCCAGAGCGTTTCATTTATTCCGCTTTCGCCTGTTGACCTATTGAAGTTTCCCATCCGACCAGAGAGACTTGTTTCTCTCTCGCACACTCATTTGGAAACCTCGTCTGTGATTCGCTCCTTGAAAATTCACTTCGTGCCTCTATTAGATTTACAGCGACAGCACTTCTGCAACTTCAACCTCTGTACAGACCTTGATCGAAGCGCGCACCGGGTTTTGCTATAACGTTGATGTATGTACCCGAATCCCGAGAAATTGATGGTCATTCCCCCACATTGCTTCACGCCTGAATTATTGTCATCGTTCACCGAGATGCCCGGAACATTTGGTGGCCATCGGTTGTGCTACCAATGTCGCATACTGAACTGCTATCGCCACCAATGCTTCTATGCTGTATAGCAGCGTGCGCGGATCAGTGACATGAGGTGCAATCTGTTCACATGTGACTCCATAGCAATTGGCTCATGGATATACTCAAGCTAATTAGTGTTCTGCATCGAAATAGTCAAAACCGGAAGCAAGGTTCAAATATTGAAGGACCCGTGATTAAATTTCCAACTTAACACAAACACGATGAAGTTCAACTCGGTTATTCTCACCTTGGCGACGGCTGGTTCCCTCGTGGCCGGTCAGCACCACAACGCCCACCGTCATCACCACAAGCGTACCGTTGACACTCAGGTCATCGAGGCCAACGGTGTCACTGTTATCCAGTACGAATACCAAGGCCAAGTGGTCACCAGTGAGTGGGTGTGCGAGAAAATCCGGGCCGGAGAGGTGAAGTACAAGGATGGCCAACCCAATTATGATCCCTGCCAACCTACCGCCTCTTCCTCTACCGTATCTTCCTCTACCGCCGCTGCTGCTCCCACACAAGCACCAGCAGAATTTGTGGAGACTTCCTCCGCCACTCCAGCTTCGTCGTCCAGCTCCTCAGCAACCTCTTCGTCCGCTGCTTCCTCGAGCACCCCCACGCAGTCGAGCAGCTCTGGTGCTACGGGCTTGGATGCCGACTTCCCTGATGGAGAGATTGACTGCAGTACTTTCCCATCTGCCTATGGTGCCGTCGCTCTTAAATACCTGAAGCTCGGTGGCTGGTCCGGTATTCAGTATGTTAAAGTATCTGGCAGTGTTGTGACCGATATTGTCACTGCTGTGAGTGGTGACAGTTGCACTGACGGAGCCATGTGCTCGTACGCTTGCCCCGCTGGTTATCAGAAGTCTCAATGGCCCAGCACTCAGGGCTCCACCGGCCAGTCCGTTGGTGGCCTCCAATGTAAGAATGGCAAGCTCTACCTTACTAACCCCACACTCTCCAAGAAGCTTTGCATTGAGGGCACTGGTGGTGTTCATGCTCAGAACAAGCTCGGCGTGGAGATTGCCATTTGCCGTACCGACTACCCTGGTAAGTTTATTCATGAAGGCGTGCCGTGATAGGAATAATTTCTCATCATTGCATATAGGTACCGAAGCTGAGACCATCCCTCTGGCCCTTGGCGACAATGAGCTTCAGCCCTTGACTTGCCCTAACGGCAACAAATACTTCAAATGGCAGGGCAAGGTTACCTCCGCTCAGTACTATGTCAACCCAAAGGGCACCAGCACCGAGGAGGGCTGCCAGTGGGGTGATGGCTCCAAGCCTATCGGTAACTGGGCTCCTATCAACCTTGGTGTCGGTGAGAACAATGGCAAGTGGCTTTCTATTTTCCAGAACAGCCCCACCACCAGCGTGAAGCTCAACTTCAACATTAAGATTCAAGGAGACAACCTCAGTGGATCTTGTAAATATGAGAACGGCAAATTCATCTCTGAGACCGGCAGCAATGACTCTGGTTGCACTGTAAGATCCCTTCCTTTTACACTTGAGACACTCTCACTCACATGTCCAATGACAGGTCGAAGTGTTGTCTGGCGAGGCCACATTTGTCTTCTATTAAATAACCTGACGATACTGCATCGCTGCAAACGGGCACGTCCGCTACGTGACTTGGCCACTATCAACCGGCTGGACTGGCCTGGGTAAATAGATCGCCGGCTCCTTTCATGCCATGTCGCCTTCATGATCTGAAGTCCAGTTGCTTGCTTTCTTCTGTGTATCTTAGTATATTATCTTATGTGACTTAGGGAGTTTTTCATTCTTGTCACACTTAACCGCCTTTACCACTTGGTAGAGACGATTGTGGTTAGATATTTCTTTCTCTAGTACCAAGTAACTGATTGTGATTTTCAAATCTGTACATGTGTGTTGTTTATTGTACAAGAATGGTTAACATATTCGTTAATATTATGCCATGTAGTAGCGGATTTTCGTGGGGTAGACTGGCCACCAATTTGGCGGTGTTGTGGCTGAAATGAAAAAAGTTAGGAGCATACGTAGCATAATCCTTGAATATTCCAGAGGATGGACTATCTGGGTGCCTGGGTGCTTGTATGGAGTCGCGTGGCCCAGATTAACATAAAAAAAAATGTCGCCTGCAGTGCAGATCGGTTTCGCTGACTGTAACTGAATTCTACCCCTTTGGCTAGGTATTACCGTGTTCGGTGTGAGGGACGTAGGGAGGACAATGCAAATGGCAGGGAGTAGGGCGAGATGTACTTGGTGTACGCCTTCCTACTACTTAAATGAATCCATGATGGCTATAGATAATCGGAGTCTAAATTCCCTTCTTCTTCTTCTTCTTCTTCTTCGATTTACCTTACTTTTTATGTTATTTTATTTGTATTTCTAAGTTGCGTGGACCATTGTGACGGTCGGTGAGTGCATCCTGGAAACGCGAAGGCTGGTTGTCGTGATTGTCAGGATATTCGTACCGAGTCAGTCGCGTGCATACTTAGGGCACTGCATATGTTTTGAGTAATGATAGTAGTAGTCAGATAAGTTCCCCCCTTCAAGATTGCAGGTGGAACACGTATGTAGGGTCTACGCTTTATCCGTATGGTGAGGGAATATCCTGGAAAAGAATGCCCATGAAAAGGTCCATGGCTTGCAGCATTGTCAATTACGCCATAGATGATTATCCCCCGGAACCCCTCCTTCAAATTCTTCTGTACGTATTTTTGCAAGTACTAGTACTAAGTAGCCTCAAACTCCACCGGCCGAGGTCCTGTCACCCCTACCGTGCATCGCGCCGTCCAATGAGATTGACGAAAACCCTGCAAGCTGCACATGGCCTTTGCTATTCTCGGAAAAGTCACTGCAAGTTCCTTGCGGATGCGCATCACGTGGTTTGGCGCGAGTCACGGGACTAGAACCAAAGAACGCGGAGCATGACTCTAGACGCGGGGACGCGCCTTTCTGCCTCGGGCATCTCTCTAAAAAAATACGAGGAGAGGATGGCTCATAAGGTGTTTGCTTGAATCGCATTCTGTTCAGTTTCTTTTCTTTTCTATTTTTTTTTTTTTTGCATGCCTGAAATATCACGTACAAAGATGCAGTGTAGAACAGAGTTCAAAATGGCCAGGCTCTGACGCTGCGCGACAGTCCGTGGTGGAGCTCCCAAAACCTCGCCGGCGCCTATCGAACGCGTCTCGGGCTGTAAGCGTGCATTTCCGCGCTGGACAAGAGACGCTCCGATCCGGTAGGCATTCCACCACACACTATCCCTCACCCTTTTCTTCATTCTTTTGTAGGTCAGTTCTGTGCCTCCCAACCACCTGGACTTCGTTCTGGGAGAAGAATTGACGTCCATTCTCTTGCAGTCATACGTCTCGTTCATATCTTCTTTTCCTACCTGCCCTTCTCGTCTCTCGACTCATCATCTATAGAAATAGCCCTTGCCCGGCCTCGACGCGACCTCGAATTGAATTCTGTCCGCTTTAGACTTATTCGAGTTTACCGAAAACCTGCTAACTGTCTGGAAGACGCCTCTAACACCATGGAGTCTTCTCCTCCAAGGAGCAGTTCTAATGCTTCTGTGGCAGGTGTGAAGCGTCCAGCGACCTTGTTGCCTGCCTTTGAGCCATTGAGTTCTTCGCCTTCTCTTCCTCGACCCCAGAAGCGTGTAGCTCGCGATGATCATGGAATTGTATCAACATATCCAACTCCTGTTCCGACGTCATCGACCCATATCATGTCCTCTTCGCCCCCTCGAATGGCTTCGCGTCGAACCTTGACATCGTCAAATTCCGAACGAACTCCCCTGTCCACTGTCCCCACCATGATGCTTCCGGAGACTGGCGAGCCACTTCTCATGGGTAGATCCAGTGCATCTTGCCATCATCAACTCGCTGCCAACCGTATGATTTCGAGGGTCCATGTCAAAGCTACCTATAAGCCTGCACCTAATCCCTTCGATCGAGATAGGGTTGAGATAATGTGCATGGGCTGGAACGGGATCAAACTTCATTGCCAGGGGAAAACGTATGACTTGGCCAAGGGAAAGACTTTCACTTCTGATATCAAAGACGCAGATATCATGATTGATGTCCATGATGCGCGTGTTTTGGTCCAATGGCCGCGAAATGAACGAAAGGACTACGCATCCACCGATTCCGAGCAGACCTGGGAAGAGGCTACCCCACGACGTAACAGACAGTCTCGTCGAAGTTTGCATGACAGTCCTAATGTGGAACGCCGGCGCTTGGCTTCCCCTGTCTCGCCTTCTCCTGCAGTCAAATCCCTAATTCCACCGTCCTCGCCACTGTACACTCCAACACGTGCAAGAAATGCCGTGGTTGTTTATGAGGATGAACCGTCTCCCGTCCGCCGTAAAAGCTCAGGAGATGCCTTGCTGTCTGAAGCGAGCCTAAAGTCTACCTCTAGTGTAGGGGACCTCTTGCAGAGCTCACAATCGAGTGACCTGAGTGATCTCAGTAAGCCTGATGATTTGTCGGACCACGATGAAGAGAATGATCCCATCGTTCATTCCTTTGGACCCTTTGGAGACAATATCTTGCCCCGTATGGCTTCCTTCACTGCTGATGGATCACCACTCCGCCCCGCTCGTCCTCGTAACCAGCACCCCGCTGAGCCGCTCCGCCCTGCTCACTCTCCTAGACAGCCATATAAGCCGGCTGAGAGAGTTGATCTTACACTAAGCAAGCCACTTGATGAGAGCTTTGAGAGAGTTCAGAATCATGCTATCAATCAGCTGGCCTTTTCTCGTCTTTCTTCAACGCCTTTCTCGACAATTTTGAATAACCTCCCACCCTCCCTTTGGCGGCGGGATACACATTCAAAGGAAGGACCTACACGGGATGAGATTCGCGCCATCATTGATACCACGAAGTGTATTGGGAAGGTCGCTCGGGAAGGGAAGGATGCTGCGGGGAAGCCGCTCGAGAGTGAATATTACTATATTCCCGACTATGATGATGACACGATGCGACGGGAAGCTGTGGTACATGATCTCAGGAAGCCAGGTCTTCGGAACTGCCGAAAGCAACACAAGGTATGCTTGCATAATAACTAGCACTTGTTGATACGTAACTAATCTTTAGCAGCAATATTTCTGGCGTAAACCAAAATGAACCAAGTGATTGGAGGCAAGTTACCTTCATTCGAGAATGACCCGCAAAAGCTCTCTGGATGGTTCTTGTTCTTAGTACATAGTTGCAATGACCTTTTCCTTCTCTTTTTTTTTTTTTTTTTTTTTTCCCTTCTGGACTCGCATAGCGTGGCGTGGCATACCCTGTCTGATTTTTATTCTATGAAGGTGTACGACGAACGGTGAACTTTTCTTTTCCATTCCTTGCTTTGCCTCATGCTGCTTACGTTGAGCGCCAGAGGTAATATGCTGTTGTCCCCATGGGACGTCCACACTCATTCCACGGCCGATCATCCTGACTACCATGTTAGCTCTGGTCTTTGGAGTTATTGTATCGACAGTGATGACCTTGTTATCTGTTGTGAAAGTGCTGTCTATTGGCATCCCTGTAGGACTTGATTTGGATTCTTATCCTGCCAGTGGCTTGCTGGCCTATTGTATTCCAACTTTGGACACAGTTATGATGTATGTTAACAGAGTTTCTGTATCGAAACAAAAATTATCTAGTTCGTTTTAATTCTAGACCTTATCTGCACTCTGAAGCCCCTCGTTGCATCCGTTCATGTGTCCAGCAACCATTTCTTAAGGCCCGCAGCAAATTTTCTTTCAGATACTCCGCAATATCGACGCTGACACTTAACCGAATTGAACCACTATGGATCCTCTTCACACAAGCTCTCGACGCCACTTAAGCTCTCCACAACGGTGAACAACCTTATCCCACAGACTCCTCGTCGCTTCACGTCAACCACGGGTCGGCACGAAACCATCGCACCACCCAAGCCATCGCGATGCTACTAAACCGCAACACCGCACTGCGGGTGACCAAAATAACCTGGATAATTAACAGACTGTCAAGGGTTTTGACCAAGATACTGACAGTACGAGACGCTGCAAGAGCCCATAGATGCAGGGCTTTCAAACTGCGGAGCGCAAGCCAACAATCGAATGGACTGGGGATAGTACCCACTACATTCTGGCCAGTTGACAAGGTTTTAGATACTCCAGGATCACTAAAACGCCTTGGCTCCTATCAGTACATCCTGGAATGTAAACTGTCAGCTGTTAATCCGAACAAAACAGGGGAATACCCACAGACACTATGTCCATTGAGATGCTTCTTGACGGCATGTAGCACGATATATGCACCATACATTAACGGCTTTTGGATATAGGGTGACAAGAAACGGTGTCATCAGTCGACGAATGCTTTCTTGAGGCTCTAGCGATTGGAGTTGCCGGAGAGTGAGTAGGAAGCTGTGGGGGTTGCGACGTGCTTTTGGGCGAAGGCCGTAGTTAGAGAGATTTACGTCATTTATATTAGACGTGTGTTATAGAATGGGAGGTGGAGAGGGTGTTTTTGCTGGTTCTATTAGGGTCTCTGTGATGGATAAGCCGGAATCTGCCGGGTCGAGTAGCGTGAGTCCCGAAGCCGTCCAGTTTAGAGATGATGATGCTTGATATTGAATGGTATTGATGACCATGTGTACGACTGTTTGTATTTAACTGCTTAGATGTTTATCTATTCATTCAAGGATGGTACTTGAGAATGACTATACAAGGGCTCATGGGCAGCAGAACGATCTACATCAATGTCCCAAAGAGGAAATAATTAGGGCGCACTGCAATGGACGTCTACGCCGCAACACAGTTGACAAATCTAAAGTGAGACCAATCTGCTTAATCACCAGAAGTATCCAGTAGTCCGAGGTCGAATTACTTCGGTGACCTGGCCTCTGTATCCTTGAGAGTTTGTCTTATTCTGGCTTGCTGTTCAAATTAACGAAAGTTTCTCAGAATAAGACCCAGAAGACAGCAAGCAATAAGATATAGACCCCATCACAGCTAAAGATGGTATCTCTGCATGATGTACCTATTGATATCCTGCACCACCTAGTCCAGGTCAGTCAATCAATCCCCATCACTAAATGATACCATACCAATTACACAGATATCTAACTGTGCAAACCAAGCAATGTACCAAGAATGATCTCCTCAATCTCCGACTCGTCAATCGAAGACTCGCCGCTTTCTTGACACCTTATATAGACCGACTTCTCGTCCACGAGATCCGCTGTAAAACCAAATACCATCTTCATGGAGCTGTATCAACAATCTGTCCCACCAAGACCCTACTCCCCCGGCTCTTACACGCCGGGGCACCAGTCGACCAACAGAACAACACAGGTGAAACGGCCCTCCATGCCGCAGTACGCCCGAATAACCTCGACGGTGTACAACAGTTACTACAAGCGGGTGCAACGGTCGACGCATCGGAGCGACGTATCTGGACACCGCTGCATCTGGCTGCTCGGTATGGATATATAGATATCGTGAGATTTTTACTTGGCTCCGGCGCAGACATCAACAGACGGGGATTCCATGGGTGGACAGCGTTGCATTTTGCTGTGAGAGAAGGGCATATAGATTGTGTGGAGTTGCTTCTGGGGTATGGGGCTGACGAGGGTGTGTGTGATAACGATGGGAGGAGGGCTAGAGAAGGTGTAAGGTATGGTGTTGAGATGCTTTCTACCGAGACCTAGGTAAATGGAGTGAATTAATGAATATTAAAGATTTCTTATCGCTTTCCTTGGTATAAACCATGGCAAACCATAGCAATGAACACTAGGTAGATTTCTTAATCCACACACTCAACATATCCGTCCCCTTCCCATTCGCATACGACCTCTCTGGCTTCAGATACAACAACCGCTCAAACACGCCCTTCTCCTCACCCTTCACATCCTCACCAACATCTCCACCAACAATTCCATCCCCACCCTCCGCTAACAAATCCCAATGCACCCCCCTCAACCCCCAAGGCGGACCAGGCATCTTCGGATCCTTAAACAACGGAAACTCAAGACAAACAAGCTGCCCATTCGGAGCAAGTAAATCAGCCATCCTCCCAGCCCACTGACGACGTACATTCGGATGAAGCGCACAAAGGAACTATACTTATCATCAGTATCACTCACTCACCCACCAACCAAGCTGTCAACCACTCTAAGCCCAACAAAAGAAGAAAGGAAAACAAAACGAACCGTATAGTCATAAATCAAATCAAACTGCATCTCGCTCTCCCAGTCCCTTTTGAAAAAGTCTCCCTGGAGAATGGTCACTTCGCCCTTCCCTACTCCTGGGCTTTCCCTAAAGTGGGAACCGAAGTTGTAGTCCTGCGGACTTTGCAATTCACTCTGTGCATACTCCCTCGCGACAGAAGCACCTGTTTCTGATACTTCGAGTCCGAAGACATCGAAGCCATGGAGCGCGAGCATGACTACATCGTAGCCTTTTCCGCAGCCCTTAGGGTATCGTTAGTTTCTTGTCAGGAGTTATTAGGAACCGGTGGCCCATGTCTGGCCAGCATAGCCTCTCCTAGAAAGATACGGAGAGAATAGAAAAAGAAGAGCAGAGAGGAAGAAAAGAGACGTACAGGAACAAGTGCCTTTTTCCTCCTCCCGTCCTTCGTAAGCAGGTTAACTCTCTCCTCTATGAAATCAATCAGTGCAGGCGAGGGCATGCCTCTATCCCAGAGATTGCTGCTATCTGTGTCCCACAGATTGGACCATCCTGCTGGTTGGTTATCTGGCGAGCTGATAGAAGTATTAGTGGATATTTTGTTCATTGGTATTCCATGAGTAGGGGAAAAGAGAGGGAGGGAGGGAGGAGACATACTGAGCCTTGAAGTGATTGACGAGGCGGAGTTGGCCAGCTGCATTTTGGAGGGTCTCTTTCTCTGTGGATGATGCCATTGTATTCTCTTTTTCTTTCTCTTGTTGCGTTTGGATTGGCTGTGGTAAGAGCTTTAGTGGAAAATTTTGATATTGACTTTCCCTTTCAGGGCTTTATATCCTGGCTAAGATGTACAGGGTAGGGCCTAGAATGCGTATTGATAACACATATAAACCTGAAAAAAGGCCCACAGAGTAATTGGCTGGACGTTTCTAGTTTGTGCGAGACATACGTTGTGCGCCTTTATGAGTTCCATTTTGGGCCTGGGAAGTGGGGATTCCGTCGTTTACTATGACTAAATTACTCGATTGGGAAATGTGAAGGGCGTTCGTGCGAGTTGTCCAGATATCTTGGCGTATTTATAGATATGTTATTAATCGAATAGTTTATGTCGATGTTACATTGAGAGTGTTTTGATTGATGCCGTTCTCTAATATATAGCTCTGATTCATCGTCTAGTTCTCTTCTAGGATCTACTGTGTCTATACCGGCGTAAAGCATAAAGTATAACACGATGGCATCTCCATATCTCGGCCAGCTTTTGAGTGAGTCTGTTGCGGACCATATTGGTGCTACGCCCTTGGTGCAGCTGAATCGCCTTCCTGCTTCGTTTGGGATTAAGGCCAGAGTCTGTGCGAAGCTGGAATACTTCAATGCCGGGGGCTCTATAAAGGACCGCATTGCGAAGCGCATGGTGGAACAAGCGGAGAAAGATGGATTGATTAAGCCGGGTGATACACTGATTGAAGCTTCAAGTGGAAATACGTATGTTGGTGAAACATCTATGAATCGGGATTCTCCTGGCTAATGAGAACCTGCGAATCAGAGGCATAGCCATTGCCCTCATGGCAGCGACTAAGGGCTATAAATGTATCATCACTCTGTCCGAGAAAATGTCACTGGAGAAAGAACAGATCCTCAACGCGTTGGGCGCCAAGGTGGTGCGCACGCCTGCCGGAGTGCCCATTGAATCCCCGAATTCTATCCTGAGTGTTGCCAGACGTCTGAATAAGGAGATACCTAATTCGTGGATCCTGGACCAATACAACAACCCGGAGAACCCGCGAGCCCATGAATTTGGTACTGCGGAAGAGATCTGGCACCAGACCCAGGGTAAGGTAGACGTCATCCTTGCTGGAGCTGGAACCGGTGGTACGGTCACCGGTTTAACCAGGGGCCTGAAGAAGAAGAGTCGTGATGTGTTTGTCGTTGGTGTGGATCCAGTCGGATCTATCCTGGCGCATCCGGACGCACTCAATGAAAAGAAAGGTGAATATAGAGTAGAGGGGATTGGATATGACTTTGTGCCCGGCGTGCTGGAACAGAGAATCCCGGATTTCTGGGTCAAAACCACCGACCAGGATTCCTTCCAGATGGCAAGAAGACTTATCCGTGAGGAAGGTTTGCTCTGTGGTGGCTCATCGGGGGCAGCGCTTGCAGGTTTAGTCCAGTTCCTTCAGTTGCGCCCAGACTTCAACGTGGAAGACAAGACGATCGTGTTGGTTTTCGCAGATAGTCTCCGGAATTACCTGACTAAGTTCGCGGACGATGTGTGGATGGAGCAGAATGGGTTTGTATTGGATGCAGTCGATAGCTGAGCCCGAATTGCTAGAGAGAGATTGTATAAAGGTGTTGAGCCAGTGAGCACCACTTCATTTCTGACTGCTTGCTACGTGAATATTTCAATTGTTTACCAAGATAGGCTGCATCAACGGCTGATAACTGAATATGAGATCACTTGGGTGAAACAAGAAGACAAGCTCAATTATGGCAATGAGGGGGGTTCAGAAATGTGTCCAGGGTTACGGATATCCCGCCGTACATGTCTGGCGCAAGGAAAGCACTTGACGGGGGATTTTCAGCACCGAGTTCCCTGACTCCCTGGCTCTCCAGCAGTATACATGGACATCTGGGCCATAATATGTTGCCGATATTCGGCAAGACACTCCGGACTTTGCCATGTCATACATGAGTTGATCATATCCGCGGAAGCTGGAGCCGTGGAGTCGGAACTTGGCTTGAATGGCGCCCACTCGTCAGCCGACCATGGAAGGCAGAAGCGATAATCAACGCCACCAGCATGGCTATTAGGGTCACACTGGGACGTATCCTCCGTCGAGCCTAATCCCACCCCTTCCTTGAATAGTCTCAACCATTCAGGACTATCTGCTGCTGTTTGATTCCACGGGTCATCATCCCCATAAATAATACAACGCGCCTCCTTTTGTAACATCTCGTCTGTGATCAACTCACCTTTAGCCTGAACGTCCAATACATACTCACTTAAGCGGGCGGTGAGATGCTCGAACATTGTGGGCTTTGCCTGCACCTGCGCAGGCTGGTCCGTTATCTCCAAGTAAGAGCTTGGCTGCGCGTCCTTGCTTAACATGTGAGACGCGCTGAAAGGTGCCATGCCTGCCGATTCAATGCCAATCAAGTAGGGTGGCATGGCATTCTCCACGGCTAAGGCTACGGGCGGATCCAGACCGCGGCACCCTCGCCAGTCCTTCATAGAAGCTCCACTTCGAAAATGCTGCGCAATATGATCATTCCTTTCAGACCAAGTTTCAAATCGTTGGTCACAGAACCCGCATCGTGAGTTGATATGTGTGACTTGTGATTTCCAGCTTTCCATGACTGGGGCTGCGTGATTGACTCCATGCACTAGGCGTAGATGTTGGACGAGATGATCCTTGCGATAAAACGTCCTCAATGGTGCCGGCTTCAATTGGCATTCGCTAAATCGATGCGCGTCGATATGGCTATCCGATGGACAGAATTCATCACAAAAAACACATCGGTTGACTCCATTGGAAGAATCACTATAAGTAGGGCCAGATGGGGCACAGGTGAACATCACAAGGGCTAAATGCAAGGTCCTCTCGTGCCGTGTCCAGTCATGCTTCGTATGAAAAGTGTCGGTGCAAAACGTACACTGGAACGGTCTCTTGGTCGCTGTTGTTTTGGCAGGGCGGTTATATGACACGCCCAGATTTCTTGTTCGCCGCCGGCGCCTGCGACGTGACGGATCATCCAAGTAAAAGCGGCCAAACGAGCCCTGAGAATGTATCGAGCCGGTGGATGAACCCGAGCTGCTTGATAAACCCGAAACGGAGGCTTCGGAGGACACGAAAGATCTAGCGTCGTTGAACTTCGATGCTACGGCGTGTTGCAAATTGCATGAAGCTGAAGCAGCAGAGCCGATAGTCTGGTCGGATTTGTTATCAATGTCACTGTGAGCCACAGCATTCACAATAGCTTCCAAAGGTGCGGCTTCAATTTCAGGAGGGGAATTTCTCCATCGATCAAGCGGAGTCATGGACGCCCATTGCGGATTTCCCGAGAACTGGTGCTCCTGAAGAAAAGTATGAGATTCGGGTATCGATGAACCGTTGCAGGAGGAGGCATTTCTAGTTCGGCGCAGCCGCCGCCGAGCATTTGTGAACCAGGTCGAGACTTGAGCCATGCTCAGCCCTGTCTGCCCAGCCAATGATCCTTTCTCCTCCTTGGTAGGATACGGACAATGTAAATGGAGATTCAGCCATTGTTCCAGGACATTCAGTTGATTCTGATTGAAGGTTGATATGAGCCTCTTCGATCTGGAACTCCCCAGTGCCGCTTGAGTATCATCATGAAAGGCAGCCTCTGTTGCGTGGGTTGACGATGCTTCAGACTCTGGAAACATGTGATCAAGGTTAAAGGACAGATCCTCCGTAGGAATCATGCTGTCATTCATTGACCTTAACATTTCGTTGAGTTCAACATCTGAGAACATACCGAAATGGTTCTCCACCGGTATGTCGGATGGATCCGTTGACGAAGCCATTTCACACATCAGAGATGAACTCGCTGGATATGCTATGTGATAGGGATCTCAGAGCTCGGGTTCCATGAAGTTGGAACCATGTAAAATGAGCCATTCTGCAAATGATGACTTGGTTATGACTGGAGTGGATTTGGGCCAAGTGGCGATGTGAACCTGAGGTACTATGGCGCCTGGCACGCCCTTACAATTACTGTTTCGGGTATAGCGCCAAGTGAAATTGTCTCGACCGACGGGAGGAAAGCATGACTTCATCGTGATTTTGCATCTTTATCTCCTCAACATTAATGCATGGGGTTTCGAAAGGCAACAGACAGTCGACATATTATTTCACCCGATAAATTGTTTCGATTCAATCGGCCTGAGTGTCAGTAAATCTCCAGGTTCGCCACAACGTATGACATGACATGTCACTGTTACGCAGTGACTAGAGCCATATAACTAGTATCCTCGCAGACCCATAATGTGGGTTTTACGCTTTGATACATTTTACCTTTACTGAAGGGAATTGCAGTTTAGCTCCAAAAAATTGCTCGGCGCCCTCAAAGCAAGGCTTTTCTAAAGATTACGGTTGCCATTACCATACTTTCAAGTATCAACGTACAACCATTCACCTGGTCAGATTCTACTTTACTCCTTGTAGTTCCTCAAAATGTCATCTGCAGACCAGAAAGGAGAAACCCCCCAAACTCGTCGAACTATTTTGCTTCCTGGCAAACCAACCAGCAGAAAGCCTCATCCAAACGACCAGGAAACACTGCAGAGAGGCTCCGACACCGATCGAAATAGTCGAACTTCGAGCGAGGGATGGAGACCAATGATTGATCGACGCCAGAGCTGGAACGAAGAGGACAGGAAGCATGAGCTTCAGGCTTGGCTGTTGGGAGTGGAGGAAGGGAAGGAGACTGGCTTCACCGAATCGTCGCACGAAATCTAATGAATGAATTAATGAATGACGGAATGACGGATTGATGATTGAAGGTGAAATGAACAAGATCATGAATGCTGTCTAGCATAATATGGGTTTATGATTAGGTGGATAGGATCAAGCTGACAGCGGGCTGTTTGGGATTCTGTTCGCGTGTTCTCCTCGAACTAATGACTCTTTTCCCCTCGTGTCTAGTGTTTATTGTTGTATGCCTAGCAAATTGATTAATGGCATTGTGCTCACTTAAGGTGGAATAGTGGAACTAGATATATTATGAAACCCTAGTAGTCATGTAGGTCGTAATTAGTAGCAATATTACCTAGTGGGTGAAAAGGAAATGAGAAGATATTTATTCACGGTACTGGCTCTAGTCAGTAAGGTCTATAGTATTTAAATACCATAGAAAGTAAGGAAGAAAAAAATGGGGTTCAAGTAGTTCAAAGAAGGACATAGTTCTTATAGACCGACGCGGAAATCCTCCGGTGTGGATTGGTCTGGAAAACTAGGAACGGGGACCGCCTTCGGCTCCCACTTTCGCCGCCGCAGCGTCTCCGCGACAGCTTTTCATAAGAGCACCTCAACCCTGGCGCACGGCGACAGAAATCTCAAGACGTTGTGCAGCGCTCGGTCTAAGGTGCTTCACCAATGTGGTGTACAAGTCACTTATGCGCTTTCCTTTCCGATTCTTTGAAAGGACCCCACGATAGTTAATCGACACCGCGGGATTACTACTGTGCGGACAACAGACGGCAGTAAGAGATGGATCGTCAAAGGAAGCGTGCGTACCCCGCATCCCGTCTTCAACTCCCATTTACCATATACAGGTTTTGTTTCTAACCGATATTTTTGATCTAGGGGAGCTTCGCGATCTCAATGAGAGAGCTTGGGCTGGCGAGAGTGGTAATGACGTCCCAATACAATGTCCCGCACAACAGGTCCTGATCTAACCGCCCAACCTCATGAAACAGATATCTTCCCAGTTAGCAGATCCCTTGATTCAGCGCTGAAGAAAAACACCGCCTTCATCAAGCGTCTACGCACCGGAGTTAATGCTTCCGCCCAGCAGACCTTCCTGGCCGATATCCGTACTTTGTCGCTCCACAAATATCTGTCAGAAATCATATCCGCTTGCTATGAAGGGTTATGCAAGTTGAAATCTCCTGGGGAAATTGCCACGGGCGTGGAAATAACGAGCGCACTGCATCAACGGTTCGGACCAGCCGAGTTCACGAGACAAATTGGTTGGTTATTGGGTCGAGGGCTTAGCACACCGGACAAGGGGCAGCTGAAAGCGCTCAGCCAGGAGGTGCGCGAACGCGAAGAAAAGGAACGGCTATCCCGACATCGAGTTTTGCTGAGAGTAGTTACAGAACTCTGGTTGGTTGGTGTGCTCAGGACGCTGGATGATATCGAACGACCGGAGGATTTGGGTGCCAAGGGCAAAGACGGTGTTGTTGGGATAGGTGGAAAGGCGTCGGAAAACCCAGTCAAAGCCAAGGCCCCGTCAGCAGTTCGAGACAGTGATAAGGAAGCAGAGCCATTTCCCCTGGAAGTGTTGAAGGACCTATTGGGCCATGACCGTGACCATACAAATTTGCCACTCGCCGTTCTGTTTGTCAAGAGCTTCAGTTGGGATATCCTTGGAGCGAAGACTGTCGAGGAAGGAAGGAAAACAGTAGAGGCTGATGGAGCGACGACCCCTGCGGAGGCTACAAATGGCGAGGAGGACGCGGGGATTGTGACAACAACTGAAAATGACCCTCCTCTCATCCCAGAGAAGACACAGGCTCGCTTCAAAAGCATTCTGAATCGGTACCTGGAGGATGTCAAGGCTCATGTGGTTCGTGACCAAAGAGCACTGGCAGCTCAGAGCCGCCGTAACGCCGAGGCTTATGTTAAGAGTGGTGAAATCTTTGAGGACCGCCAGGCCAACTTTGAGAAACAAACCAAATCTTTGGAAAAGTTGGTCGCGAACACGCAGGTCTTGTGTGAGGCTTTAGGTGTGGAAATGCCCGCCTTAGCTGAGCAAGAATCTGCTGACCCTGCGTCAAGCGGAGGAATTGGGCTTGTGAAAACGTCCGAGTACCTACGCGGCCAGGGTGAAGGTGCCGGTATCTGGGAAGACGAAGAAGAGAGGCGCTTTTACGAGAACCTAGTTGACCTCAAGGGCAAGGTTCCAGCCGTTCTCCTAGAGGATGGTAAGAAGAAGAAGGCGGACTCCGATGAAGCAGGGAAAAAGAAAGACGGCGAGGATTCGGAAAAATCTGAACCGGCCCAAGGCCAGCCATCAGAAGAGAAAGCTGCTACGGATGCAGACGATCAGTCCATGGCCATTGCAAGCAAAACTGTTGGAGCCCAAGTCGATGCGCTGTTGGCTAAGCTGCCCGATTTGCAGACGAAGGACCACGTTGATCAGTTGGCACTAGACTTCTGTTTTCTCAACTCCAAAGCATCGAGAAACAGGCTCATCAAGGCTGTGTCGGATGTGCCGAAGGGACGTATCGATCTCTTGCCCTTGTATTCACGCCTGGTCGCCACTCTTGGGCAGTATTTGCCTGATATACCGCAGGGATTGATCACTTATCTGGATGAAGAGTTCCGAAGCCTTCAACGCCGCAAATCCAAAGAGTTTCTCGGGCAGGTTCGTATGAGCAATGTGCGCTATCTCGCAGAGTTGACCAAGTTCGGCGTGGTTCCGGAGCATATCATTTTCCACTGTTTCAAGGTCTCACTTGACGACTTCTCTCGCATGAACATTGAAATCATTGGTTATCTCCTAGAGAACTGTGGGCGTTACCTACTTCGCAACCCCGAGACTTCCCCTCGAATGGCCTCATTTTTGGAAACTCTTGGGAGAAAGAAAACTGTTCAGCATCTGGGCCAACAAGAACGAATGATCATTGAGAACGCGGTCTACTACGTTGATCCTCCACCCCGGCCTGCCATTCAGCAGAAAGAGCGTACTCCTATGGAGTCTTATATCCGGAGACTTATCTATTTGGATATGAACAAGCGCAATTATACCAGGATATTGAAGTCAATCCGGAAGCTACACTGGGAAGAACAAGAGGTAGGGATTTCCTCTGTTGGAGTTGGAGCGTCTCTTATATAAAAGTTACTAATGCCGCTGCCAGGTTGTTGACATTATAGAGCGTGTATTCAGCAAACCTGTGAAGGTGAAATATGGCAATATCCACCTTCTAGCGATCCTGGTCAGTGCTTTGTATAGATATCACCAGGATTTCGTTATTGGTATCGTCGACAACGTCCTTGAGCAAATCACATTAGGCCTTGAGCAAAACGATTTCAAGTTCAACCAGAAGCGCGTCGCCGAGGTCAAGTATCTCGGAGAGTTGTATAACTACAAAATGATCGACTCGCCTGTTATTTTCGATACCTTGTACAGGGTTGTTACATTCGGTCATGGTAAGCCAAAATAAGCATCAAGGATAATCCCCACTACTAATAATAATGCAGAGGGTGGTACGCCGATCCCGGGTAAGCTGAATCCGTTAGATCTGCCAGATGACTTTTTCCGAGTTCGCCTGGTTTGCACTCTCCTGGACACTTGTGGTCACTGCTTTGACCGTGGGTCTGCCAAAAAGAAGTTGGACTTCTTCTTGACATTCTTCCAGGTAATAACCGTTGCCAAGCGCTAGTTCAGTGGACTGTTATTAATTGATTATACAGTACTATATGACGACAAAAGATCCACTGCCGATGGACATCGATTTCCTTGTTCAAGATACATTCTCTCTGACTCGTCCTCAGTGGAAGTTAGTCACCGACTTGGAAGAGGCCACCCGTATTTTCGGTGAGGCTGTAGCTCAAAACTACAAAACACAAGACGCCGAGAGGCCTGCAGAGCCAGATGATGATGATGCAGAAAGTAGCTCATCTGATGACGGCTTCGAGGATGATGTTATGCCCGAGGTGGACGAGGACGGAGAGTCCAGCGACGAAGCTGAAGTGAGTTTAGTTACGCTGCATAGAGGCTCAAATGAGCTGTGCTAACACATGTCTCATAGGTATCGGGCCCCAATGCCGAGCAAAATGGTGACAGTGACTCTGAAGACGAACAAATCTTTGTTACGCGCCAAGAGGAGGAACGGGACCCTGAAGCCGAAGCCGAGTTCGATCGTGAATTCGAAAAGATGATGGCGGAAAGCATGGATTCCCGAAAGTTCGAGCGCAAGGGTGTGTTTGATATACCTCTTCCCATGAAACGAGCTCCTCGGGATGCAGCAGGCGAAAGTGCTCCGGAGCCTAGTCAACCGCAGCCACAGCCACAGCCGCAACCGCAGCCTAGCACGATGGCTTTCTCCTTGATGACCAAAAAAGGAAACAAACAACAGGTCTGCTTATACATTTTCGTATATCCAAAGAACCGTCTGCTGACTGAGACTAGACCCGTACCATCGATTTGCCGTCTGATTCCAGTTTTGCAGTTGCCATGCGAAGCCAGCAGCAAGCTGATCGAGAAGAACAACAACGGATTAAGAACCTGGTGCTTAATTACGAGATGTCCACTGAGGCCGAAACTGCTGAAGGTGCGACAGTCATCTAATCATAACTGCTGATCACTGCTAACTTATACACAGCACTCGAGAAACGCTCCCCCCGCGACTCCAGAGTTGATAAGTCTGGTGGCAATCGGACGGCGTTCCGTTCTCGTAAACTGCAGCTGAGCGATGTGAACTGGTAAACTGGCCAAAAGGATTCAAAATCCACCATATAAAAGGGTACCGAGCCATCGACCTCATCAGTACTAGGTACATGAGGTGCGCTTTTCGTTTTGCACCAGCCGCATACCTCCCGCGGGACCCCCTGACAAGTCGCCGCGTTTTCATGTCTGGTGAAAGACACAGCATCGAAGCTCATCTGGAACCCATATCTACGAGAATACAAGTTTATTCCTAAGGGCCCAAATATATCTTGTGCGTGTGAACCCAGTCTTGCACTTGCTCTGAGACAATTGCCCAGGAAGAATTGATGCAGGATTCAACTCACTGTTATACAATCCTCGGACCACGGAAAGAACAACACTATGAGATACAGTGACGATGACGAGATGCTGTGATCACCTGCACAACTTCTCTGTTGCGGCACTGCACGAGCTCAGTAACACGGACAAGTGATCGGAACCTGGCTGGACTTTGTAAGGATCAAATCAAAAATTGCCACAGAGATCCAACAATTTGCATGGAAAATTGCTAATGAAGATAATGCCATGTTGTTTCTTTTTAACCCTAAAATCCGTACCACGTGAACTGTAACTATCCTGTAAACTTCATCACAGCAGACGCTTAACAAACAAAGTAACCAAGCATACTGCGGAGTAGAAAGCAGACTCTATTTCTATCAGGACTCTTTCCGAAAGGCCACAGCGTACAAGTACAATAAGTTACATGGTGAAGGGGGAAAACACAAGGCAAAAGTGGGAATGGATGCTGAGACTTCACACGCAAAAAGAAAAAGGAGGACAACATAGGGAAGAACAATAGAAGAGAGATGACATGAGATAGCTTTATAGATAGACGCGAAAGAGAAACAAAATGGGGAGGGTGGAAGGGTATATAGTACAGAAGAATACACACGGCCCCCAACCGATCCCAAAATATTCCTCGCGGACCCAGAGCAGTTCAGATCTAGCTTCCTGAAACTTTTAACATTTATCAACCGAGATAACTAAAAGATCCGACTCTGTTCCGTTGGTTCAAGCCACGCGTTTTCAACACACACACACACACACATGTGAATTGTGAAATGCTTTATTTCTCGGACTGGGTCTCGTTCTTGCTTTCCGTGTCGTGCCAAGCCTTGGGAAGCAATTCATCGCTCTCGGGGAGCTCGCCCTTCTGGGAAAGCTCTGACTTCACCTCAGCAGCAATCTCCTTCGCGCGGGCACGCTTCTCCTCGGGGTGCGAAGCCGCATCAATCTCGGTGGCTAGAGGCGCAGCGTTCTGGGCCTCACTCTCGGGAGCGGGAGCAGGAGCAGGAGCACCCTCCTCATCGTCCTCGAGCTCAGCGCCGTAAACCTCGGGGTACTTGCGGAAACAATCTTGCATGCCCCTGTGATAATAACCCAACGTTAGCTCCACAATCCTCCTCAATGAGAAAAAGATTACACCAAATAGATATCCAGGTCCGGGTTTCAAACGCACTTGAACTTCTCAATGCAGTCCATGCCCTTGGGCTCCTCCTCAGAGTACACGAAGCAGCTGAACGCAGCCTTGAACTCCTCTCCGCAAGGGCCATGAGCCATTCCACCCAGGCAGGGGCAGTCCCAGTTGATCTCGCCAGTCTCGGGGTTGAAGGCGGCTTCTTGGCCGGCCTCCTCTTCGAGCTCCTGGGGCGACTTCACGGCGCCCTCGCCGAGGGAGAGCTCTTGTGCTGGGGCTTGTTCGGCATTGGGCTTGGGGGCGGCGGATTCCCTTTCTTCGCGGATCCTGGGCTTGATGGAGTCGAGGGTGGGGAGGGGTTCTTCGGCGGAGTTTTTCTTAAGCTGGGAGTTCAGGGAGACTGGGGTTGTTGTTAGTTGCGATGTTGATTGATTGGAGAAAAAATTGTTGTATAGGACTCGGAGGAGCGAGTAGAGGCTGTTGAGCCCCGGGAATTTCCTGGTAGATTTAACGTACAGGATGGGTTCTCCGCGAACACATTGCTCGTGTTATAGTAGTAGATTGCGCCAGCGGCCAATCCCAGTCGTACAGCGGTGTTCTTCCAGCTCCTCGATTTGGACTCGGCGGGAGCGGTGCTTATCAATCGTCTGCTTGCCGGGCCACGGGCGACGGCCGGCGCACGGAGGAGGGCTCTAGAGGCGGGACGGAACATGGTGGGGAAAAGAGTGTGAGAGAGGAGTAGAGGTAAGGGAGGTAGGGCCGGAATTGGAAGTCACGACAGCGACATGAAAGGGAAATGCGAAGGCGACTAGAGTAGACCGGCCAGAACCGGCGGAGAAAGTCGATGTGGAGGAGTTCGCGATGGTTGGTGGCCTCAGGCGAGGAACTACTACTTTGGGGTTGGTCGGTCACGGGTTGCAGTGGGCCAATCATATTTAGGCTGATGACGATGGACTTCCAAGTTTATACAGCTCTATGAATGAGTCACTCACTACGTGCATGAACTAGGAAACTGGACTTGAATATGATTCTTACACATGTTTTTAGAAAAGGGCTAAACCAATGGTACCTCGGTTATTGGAACTGCATAGAATCGGAATAGCAATCGAGAACAGTCATGGAAGGGCAAAATCTGATGGTACAGTAACGAACAATCATCCAAGTGTGGTATTGTATCTATGCCCGAAGTCATTTCTTCTCCTCTTGGGACCTTTATCTGATGGACCAGAGGACCGGGATTCAGATTATGTTGGAGGTTGCCCAACAGTAGCTCTTTGATCCTGCGGAGGCTTCCATAGCGGCCTCTGACGGTGGTATTCAGCCATGCAACGTTTTCTTGAAGAGAGTTTCAATGCCCGATTAAATCATCAGAGACCTGACACACTCAGCACATCCTTCTTCGTTTGCGTCGCTTTCTATCGTTCGGCCTGAAGGATCTTCGGATCCTGGCTTGACATCCTTCCTTGCCAATATCAACTCCACAAGCTCAACTCGTCCGGTCCGGCACGCGTAGTGTAGGGCAATTAGGCGATCATCATCTCCGTGATTGATATTGTCCATAGCATCTATTAGCACGCGGATCACGTCTTCATGCCCGTCCCTTACAACGTGCCGGACGTCCTCAGCCAGGAGCCGTTCCAAAGCGATATTTGCAAAGTCCCTCGTTTGGCTCGCCTCAAACAGTAATTTCACCATTGTTACCTGCCAACACTCAACAGCTGTTTTAAATGGCGTCAGCTCACTGGCAAATTCGGCGGCAATATCAACGCCAGGGTGGTCCAGTAAGAGCTTAACGATGGATGGACGTCCAACTCCAACGGCCGTAATGAGAGGTGACGGATGATTGGGCAGGTTCATGTTTGCATCCCTTTCTAGTAGTAGTTGAGCCATAAGTTCATACCCACTATAAATTGCGCTCACCAGTGGTGTACCGCCGCATCTATCCTCTTTCTCGATTGATAAGCACATATTTTGTAATATAAGTCTCGTGAGTAGCTCGCTTGGTTTCCACGCGAGTAGGTGTAGCATCGTCCTTCCGCATTCATCTGTGCTGGCAACATATCGAGGCGTTAGTAAGTTGATGACAGTAGGAAAGACCTGTAAGTATGGTAACTGGTCTTTTGGGCGGCAAGTATTCCAGTAAGAGAAGGATAACCTCGACCGGAACTCTCTCGAAAGTACACATTGAAGGCCTGCGAATGTGAGCAGAGGTATATGGGGAGTACATGATCGGTAGATCTAGAGGAGTAGCTTGTATGTAGGTGAGATGGGCAGTTTCGATGTATCATAAATGTGAGGCTGAAGATGTGCAATGCGAGAAGAGAGCAAATAAGTGATTAAAGATCCTCAACGAACACATGGGATTATATAGTAGTTAGCAAACAGTGAATACTCGTCCGACTAAACCGCCGAGATCCTTTGTTTCGAGAAAGCCTTGTGTGATGCTTCGGGGTCCTTTGTATAGTTTTACTATCATATTAATTCTAGATGGACAAGGTTTTCCATCTTTCTGATACACTCAGCTTCCTACACCTATACCTAGGAGGATGAAATACATCTCACGTACACAGTATTAGGTTGATCTAACTGTCGTTACGCTTTGAGAACAGTCTTCACATCCCCTCGAGCTACGAGGTGCTTCACCATTTCGGTATTTCCTCGACCCACGGCAATACCCAGAAATGTTTTACCATTATTGTCTTCACAACCTGCGTCAATACCATCCTTCGTCAACAGCTGTTTCGCAATATCCCCGTAGCCTCTAGAGTATGTGTACATCAACAAGCTCTGTCCGTTTTCGATTTGGAAATTGACATTCCCAACACTGTTAATTAGAACTTCCATAACATCCTTACACCCGAAGTTTGCGGTATATCTGAAAGCCATGGCGGCAGCAGGTTCCAATTGCTCTTTGGGGACATGTTCTATCATCAACTTTACCATAGCTGCACGTCCAGTTATGGCTGCCGTTGCAAGCGGAGTTACTCCTACCTGCTTCCTGTCAGGACTATATTCACAAATGGGATCAACACCACCATGTGCCAATAGTCGTTTGACGATGGCTTGATTTTCCTGGCTAGCAACGTGTCCAAGTGGAGTTACCCCCTGTATGCTCGGTATATCTGGTTCCAGGTCGCTTCTCTCTGGGAGCAACTTTACCATCTCTTCATATCCCCGATCAGCTGCGATCCACAATGGGGTGTAGCCATATTTGTCACGAATATTGACGGGAATAGCTCGATTTTGTATAAGACGTTTGACTACCTTGTCCCTGAGTTTCGTGTCCTCCGGTTCGACTTTTGGATCTGCGAGCGAGTGCAAAACTGTTCGTTGATGTATATCGGCCACAGACAAGTGTTGATATGTCAACAGATTTGCAATCTCCGGAAATGTAAATAATAACGACATTAGATCCTTAGGGTGAAGATACTCTGCTATATGGTAGAGAAGCTCTGGTGGAACACGTGCGAGAGTGACCATGGGATATAATTTGAACGAGCTATGGCAATATATGTAGATCTAGCAAATAGTGCTATAAGCACTGGGGCATGAGTAGAAGACCGCCGGAAAAATGATAAAGTCTCAAGCTGGGTTTATTTGCTAATGTGTTAGAGACTAAATGTGCCATGCATGAGTGAATGCGTTTTTTATACGCCTACTTGCTGTTGTATTGGGGAACAGTCCATGCCTTTTCTAATGGACTCACAATCTTTGTCTTAGGTCTTTGGCAATGACAACCTTGTGCCATTTTGTTCCCTTTTTAGAGCACAGGACAATTGACCTTTGTCCACAGAGTGCTCCAACCTTGAGCCTTCGAGAACCAGCAAAACCATGATGCTATCCATGCAAGATTCCGGGCGGCTGACCAAGACGAATATTTCATAATTGGGGCCTTACTGCTGGAAAGCATGGTAGTTGATTAAGCGCGGCTAACCATATTGAACTTGTGCATTGTTGGTACAACTTTGATATCTGATATCCAAACTGGAACAGACCGGTACGCTCTATAACCCTGTATATACGTAGTCTGTATTGCTATTCTCGCCGATCTCGACATGACTGGCATTGAGCGAAAAATGGATCGCAAAATGATTCACCCTGACGTGTACAACTGAGACGATTATTTCTAGAGACTTTCATGAGTATCACCCCGTGGCATTGTGTACTCATTCGAGAACTTATAATAATACCTGATAGGTGCTCAATGACAGTGACTTAGGGCCATAGACGGTATCCCGTAATCTGTCTCGGTATTTCAACCCATTTTATTTGATCTCCAACACGAACTATATTTTATTCTTCTGGGATTGACTGTTTGCCTCCTTCAGCGATATGATCATGCCTTCCGGGGTACGTCAAATATGCTCATAAAATCATTAAACTCAAACCAGAGTTACTCTTGTTGTTCCGATGGTTCGCCATAACCTTTCGTACCTACTGGGTCTTTCATCTTCATAAAACAATCCCACTCGCTCATAGGTTTGTAATTTCACATCGACTTGCCGTAGGTAAAGATAGAAGCTTTGAGTCCTATGCCCACCATCACACATGTCGCCGACGTGAAGAATGTAGACAGGGAATTCTTCTGTTGTAGACCCTGACCAGAAAAGAACATCTCTTAACACGGAACCATGCTTATGAGTTTTGCCAATGGTAAGCGAATTCCCAGGGTATTTCCCAATAGCCGGAATCAGCTTTCCTTGGACTGTCAGGGACGCTGATCTGAGCCCACCAAAACAGCCCTCATCAGTCGGATGAAGTGGCATGCAATTGTGCGTTACATAAGAGAGCGCCGGGCAAAATCCTTGTACGTTTTGTTCATATATCCAGAAAGTGACTTCACAATTGGTCGACGCCCAAGACCACGAGGGTGCCTGCCAAGTCGCCTGTTTCGACTTTTGTATACCGTGCCACAATAGGTCTAGGCAAAGGGTGTTTCGCCACAAGCCCGCTATATAAGCATCATTGGCCCTCAATGAGTGCATAGTTTTGGCAATTCCCGCTAACGCGGGTAGTTTATCGGTTGTGTGGGATAGCTCGCGTCTACTGTACTCTGCCACAATCTCAGTCCAGCGGAAGGTGAAGTCCCTCACATCAGTAGAATTGGCGAATGTAACTTTGAGGCTCATTTTTTCTTGCAGGTGAAGGCATTGGCATGCAGCCTGTTCATTACATTCCCACAATATCTCCCGTCGAGTGAAATAAAGGATGCGCCGCGATAGCATGCGTTCTTGATAAGCCCATGCTCGCTTGAAAAGGGGCTCGCGATCCCATGTCGAGTTCATGTCAGCCACAGCGGTACGAGCAAAGGCGCGAAATGAGTGGCGGCCGTTAGTACTCAGAATTTCCCGTCCACGGTCCCATTCATCGTCGGATGTAAAGTACAGACCCGCTCGGGGATTGGATGCACCACTGGCTGCTAGGGTGATGTAGGCGTTGTGATATATTTCTGCCATAAGTGGACACTGCTCGCTCCAGTCGTTACTGTCGTCCTGTACAATACATAATGAGTCGATCCACAAATACTTCACACCCAATTTTCTCGTGACATGGATAGCATGTTGAAAAGTGAGGGGAAGTGTCTCTCCATTGATATTATGTTGGAATGGCGACAGTGTTGTCTTCGTTAATTGAACCGGACTTCCCTCTGCCCCCCAGCAGTAACTGAGGCAAATATACCGTCCCATTTCGTTAGGGGCTGGTCTGTATAGTCTTAGCTTCAGAGAATGGTCAGGACTCTCATCAATCTCAAGCACTCGTGAAGGTAGCGGAGTTTTGTCCGCAAGACGGCACTTGGGGTGTTGCTTGGTGCAGGTGCCTAGCCATTGAGATATGTCGGACATTGCAGCGTCGGTTGGTGTGCTTTCCATTACATGCCGTCCCACATCAATCCACCCCAACTTACGGAATCTGTCAAACTCGGGAGGGTGTTCTTCTGAACATTGGTTGGTCACAGAAAACTACTGGGACAATGGGAACCATACCATATAAGGTGTATAACTGTAGCATGAGACTTAACTCACAAAAGTTGCAGCCCCACGTGACGAACTTGTCAAGTCGAAGCCACACGGGGTCAGAAGAACCCTCAGGGTTGCAAGAGCATCCCTTTAAAGCGCGGACAGAACAGGAGACTTGTTGCAGAATGCTGCACAGGACGCACCCTGTGAGCTTCGCTGATTGTTTAATGGCTTTTTCAGTCAAGAAAATCTCTTGACAAGTTTTGCAGCTTCTGCCCATCCTGCTCCGGAGTTTCTGAACAAACGGGTGTGCATGATACCTGTCGAACAACTGACTATGACCCATAGCTTACGCAGGACAAACTGATTGTGATCAGCTTCGAGTGGCATATGTGAAGTTTGAGGAAAGTGGTGAACACAATTTATTTATGAACTCTTCAGCCTCGTAGGCGACTCGGATTTGATCGAAGATCTGCATGCTCAGCCACTATGTAGGTACCTGACAGCCAATCATGACACGAAAAAAAAAAAAAAAAAAAACCAAATAGACGGAGTACCTCAAGTACTTCAGCAACTCATTATCATGTAGACAATGATTTTACTTCTTCAGTTGTCACAGCTTTGGACGTCACCGCATTAGCGAGCTTAAAGAGTAAGGCTGAAGAAGACACGCAGGATCCAGGCCTGATCAGGTGACTGCTTGGATCAAACCATATCGAATCAGACTTTCAAATAGTGATTTCGAACCACGGGCTGAGGTTTTTCGAGCAGACCTAACCAAGATCTGACTTCTTGATACTCGTCGCCTTGTAACCGTGGGGTTGTTGTGCTCAGGCTGAGCTTCTCGACTCAGCAACCAATCCGGGCAGAATTTGTGTGTTATGGTGTCTCCCAATCTTATGACTCTTATAGTATTACAAGACATCAAACCAGTTCGGATTGCAAATCACGTCCCTCCAAGTAGTTCTGCTACCTGCACAATCGCGATTGGCTCTTCCTGCACCGTTGCATAGCATCCTTTGGACCCTATTACTTGCGCTACTGCATCACTGATCTTCCTAGTAGCCAATACCAGTGTTTCCAACAGCCATTCGTCGTCCACATTGAATGCTGAGTCACTATTAATTAACCACGTCTGCATATACTTGACAAGGGAATTTGACGATGACATGACAAGGCCGCTAACGCCATGAGTGGTAAGTGGCTTTACAGATAGATTGTGGGGGTTAATTGAATGGCCATGCAGCTCGCTTGTCAGCGATGGTGGGGCAATCCTTGTGGCTGCACGTATGCCTATCATTAGAGGAAGAGAACAGACCTCGAGGAATACCTGTGAGGCGATAGACTATCAAATAGACCATGTTTTGGCCACGATATGCACCGTAAGAAAAGGAACAGACAACGGCTTAAGGATTCTTATACAGCCCTCGCATCTGATGACGCCAAATGTTACAAGGATTGAAATAGGCCGATATCACACCAAAGATTTAGCAACTTCCCTCTCCTGCAACCTAACCAGTGCATCAATCGCAGGCTTTTGACCACCCCGTTTGAAGAAAGAAACAGGATCTCTCTTCTTTGTCTTACTTAAAGCAGAGGGGAAGTGAACGGCAAACGAGCAAAAATGCAACATCATGGATCCCAATACGAAGAACCTTGGAGGCGCTTGTATAGTCTGCGGACGCTGATTGGCTCCTCAGCTGAGTAGACGCTAAGCCCGAATGGGTCAGCTGTCGCGAGGTCTCCACTGCGCCTCACATCTATATCTTCTTCTCTCTGGTTCAGCAGAGGCTGAGAAAGGGGACAGATGTGGATATAAAAGGGTGTCTGAGAGCATGTCTAAAATGATCTCAATTACCCATTGTTGTGGCTCAATCTCCAACACCCTATCACTATACAAATATTTTGTATTTCTCTCTCTATACACACACACTCACTCACTCACTCACTCACTCAATAAGTGCCATATCTCTCGAAACTCTTTTAGACAGAGTATAGAACGACCCTTGGAGTATGTCACTCCTCGCCTTTTCTCCAGAGAAACGCCACATTGCCATCGCTGAGGTGGTCATCTTCTCGCTCATCCAAATCATCCAATGTACCACCCGGTTCATGCAGGAGTGGAAATACTGGCATCATAGCAAGCAGAAATCTGTGCCTCGCTGTATTTTCTACTCGTGGTATGGCTTGGTCGGATTAGTGGCGCAACGTTAGTGACCTCCTGCTGATGATCATGTTGCACTGCGTTGACTTTGTTATGCTAGTTCGAATCGCTGGGTCCGCAATGGTGCTCTCAGGCTCCAACGACAAGAAAGTAGTTATGACAGAAGCAATCCTGCACGGCATTGGCCTTTCCCCGTTGTTGTTTGAAGTCAGCCTCGTTATGCTGAGAAGGTTTGTCTCGTCCATTTAACTTTACATTTCCATCTTGGAGTTTAACGTATGGGCTGGAATAGTGGACAAACAGGTAGAACCGGCCCTAGAAATTCGAGATATCCCAAGACCATCCGATTTTTACTTCATCTCTTCCGATTCCCTGTGTTCTTTGGCATAGTCCTGATCGTGGTGGGAGAGAGTGCCGCCGTCTATGCATGTAAAGTGGTTGGATCTGTGCTGCTCGTGCTCATCTTCGCGTTCGGGTGTGGTCTGTTTAGCTGGTTAGCTGCGGCCTATCGCTCTGTTCTTCCCAGAGCTGGTCACCGCTGCGTTCTGTTGGTTCTAGCAGCGCTTCCTTTCTTTGTTGTTAGGATCGCTTATATGTTGCTGGCGCAGTATGGGCCGCGAAGGTTCGACCCTGCTAATGGTGATGGGGGTATTATGGTTGGGATGGGACTATTGATGGAGATTATGATTATGATTATTTTGTTATCGGCGCGTGCAATGGCAGAACCGATTCGGGGAGCAGTTCACAGTGACGTTGAAGAGGCTCGCGCATAGATTGTTGATTATTGGCAGAGTCGCTTGGTGTCATTATTTACTTTATGCCATGAGGATGTGAATATGATGTTTGATGTTGTGACAAAATAAACAAAATTAGCTGTGGTGGATATTCACCGTTCATAATTCTGTGGCAACATAACTTTATAAGTCTTGGAAAGTCGTTGTAACCAACCCTGAACCCACAGCTTCGTCGGAGGGTCCGCAAACTCATTAACCACAAGTAAGGGAAAACCCAGTCGAGAGGGGCCCAAAATGCCTTGAGCGTTAAATTCAACGGACATGCAGATCTGGTCCCGGTAATATGCAACCATAGCCGTATGTTCGCCGGGGTAGCGACATGCCCCTAGAATTGCATGAATAATCACCATAAATGAATAATACGCGGTGAATATTGTTGCGGTATCGACATCGGTGAATGAGTACACTATTGGATACAAGGTATCGCCCATCGATGAGAGGCATTCAGTTGGAAGAGGTGCTGTATGACTGAAGCTATCATACCAAGTGATCAATTTGGTTTGCATGTCGAGGGCCTCGTTTAGAAGCTTAGATGCCTTTAACTGCGTCGTTTCGTGTGCTGGGTCAGCCTGTCTGAGCTCGAAGAACTGGTGGATGAAGCACGGGATGGTGGTGTAGAGAGAAAAGAGCTCTTCTACCTGGGCGTAGAAAATGGCGGGCAAGGTAGAGTCGAACTGCTGCTTCATCACATCTTGCCAGTCGCTAGAGGCGAGAAAGCATTTCTCTTTTGAAAATAAAGAGTGCATGATCTTTCATTAGTCAGTAGGCAGTTTGTATGACGATAATACTTAAATAGCGGATGGGTCGTACAATCAAACCACGGGAGGCCTTGAGTAAGGTATGATCGAACTCAGTCTGGTACCTATCACAGCCTCTAAACCTAACAAGCTGACTCAACCCCTTGGCGTGTTTAATCCAGGATGTCGAGTCATGTGCATTGGCGAAGAGCTTAACAGTATTAGACCAGTTGCAGAGCTGGGTGATGGGCAACTCACTTCATAAAAGCATTGAAGCAGAACGGCACATAGGATCTCAGATGAAAGACTTTCCCTCGGGTTGTATAGAGATCGCTGGAGCCTGTTCAGAGCTTCCACATATGTGGACCTGGCATACATGACAGCTTGCGTATTTTCCGTCATCATGCCGATATGATGTGCAACAAAACATCTGATGGAAGAATCCAGGGCTGCATTCCTTCCATATATGGTAGGAAGAAAGGTAAACCAGCGAGCGGTTGTATAGGTTGAGGAGGCAGGAAATGGGTGGGAGACATCGCCGATTAAGATATGAAGACTCTGCATTACATTCGTGTCTGTAGACTTCAACCACAACGAACTGGCCCTCCGAGCTGGAGATTGCTGCATAGCCCGGCTGGCCTTTCCTGAACTCCACTCTACGAGATGCGTGTCATCCACCGCTGTTTTCGACCCCGGAAGCCGTTTAGAGCGATACGGCCTCCCCGCGACAAACTTGAAGCCTCGGTCGTATCCGGGGCAGGGTCTCCCGTATTTCGCGCATCTCGCGCATCCAGGGAGCCCCTCGTCGCACTGTAGCCCCAGTATCAGTCATCAAGGCAGCGACGGCTCTACAGTATGGGAACACCGACCTTTATACGACGCTGCACACAGAGCAAGCAACCATTACTGCGAGGCACTCCCATTTTTAGGAATCTTGAGATAGATATCAGTGATAACCATGTCGGACACTGTTCACGAAATATGAATACGAGGCAAAAAGCCAATCATGCCTGACTCCGTTTAATTCCGCCCTGATTCTTAGTCAGCACAAGCGATTGATACTATTCAAGTAACTGGTAGTATTCTTAAAATTTTATTTTTTTTTTTTTGCATAGACATATAAAAGTGCGATATGCACACATGCATACTTAGTCTATTATAAGAGACAATGTATCATTGAACATCGCCAGACTTCAACTGATAGCTTGCTAGGAAAGCCCACTTAGTGCAGGTAAAATAGTCAAACATTGAAAGTCGCATAAAGGCAGGATCACTTTATATCGTTTTGCGTTGCCACAAAGGTGTACGGAGCCATGTTTCTAAAGTATTCAAACTACGCTAGTGTAAGCTTGGCAATCAGCTGGTAAGGTCCTTTACCAAACAGTTTAGTAGGGGGAGCACTTAGTTAATATTAGAAATAGACATTTCAACCAAAAACGAAGCTATTTAAGCGCTTAGAAAAGCGCTCCCCGATCTAGATCCTAGTATTTAGAAAGTTGTCCCTTTACCCGAGCACCTTACCAGTCCCGATTATTGTGGCTGGTATGTTCCCCTCTATACTCGCTCCCCTGGTCCCGGGCTATGATCTGTTGAATATACCTAGACAGCCGTTTAATCCAGTGTTGTATAGCCCCCTGAGGCAGTTGATATACTATTTTCAAAGGCAACCTTTTCATTGTTTTCTTCTCGGCTATTTTTATCTTTCTAAATAGTTCTAACTACTGCCTACTTGGTTAAATCAGCTATTCTAGGACCCTTAGTAGGATCAAAACCATGCTCTTTGGTCTCTCGAACCCGAAAGTAGATCGCTGAGTGAGGTAGGCCACTAAGCAGCCCTATTGGAGCGATATCAACCTTTGCCTTGAATAGTGAAATTGTTTGAATCCTGACCCCTGAAGGATAGTGCTTTCCAGGCATTCTGAGTAGGCTGCAGGCGGATAGATAGGCAGACATACAAAAAATTAAAACATCAAAAATCCTAAATAGGGGTCAAACCCCCCTAGTTTGTATAGCTTCATTTTGCTTTTTCTTTTGAAAAATGATCTATCAACTACAAGAGGCTGACTATATAGCGATTCGTATGGTAAAGGCCTTGCCGGGTTGACAGCCAAACTTGCTAGCGTAGTTTAATTCACTTTAGAAACACGGCTCCGTATTAGGTATATAAATCTTTTCTGGATGGATAAAGGACGGAAGATTGAGTTTTTCATTGTCGAATGTGATGGTAATGATGGCTTGCTTGCATGGACTAGAGTCAATCCCGTGCTTCAACTCTAATAGTTGATACACAGAGCTGTGGATCTGTGACTTAAATGCCAGAAGTGATTGGGAGCAAATCATGGATACCATGCATGATACGCCCCCAGGTTCACCGCTGGGGGGAGGTCAAAACATTCGCTGGGCTAATTAGAATAGCTACTAAATCAGCAAACTCCCTCATTTGATTTTTGTGCCTGTCTTACTGCATGTTGTTAACCACTGTTTAATAGGTGCGCGAACTCCCTAGACCGTGCTATTAAATCAAGGCTTACAAGTTTGCAGAAATATATATATCTTTGATGTGGTAGATCGATGCTATGACGGAGAACCTGTGTTACACATTTATTTCTGCCTTTTTATATCTTCTCCTTTCAACTTCAATCGATGAATTCGATATGCATCTAACGTGTATTATCACATAAAATGAACCTACTAGTCTGGAGTGATTCGTACTTTGTACCTCATGGAGGATTAGGGTTGCGCTTGGCAGTCAAGTGGGGTCTCCGGACGAGCAGGTAAAACAACTTGTTGTGAAGAATACATAAAAAGCGCATATCTTTAGAAGAAGTCTGTCTATGCAGACTTAAGCTCAAAGGACATCTTCGGATTCAGGAGTCAGCCCCATAACATAAAACTGCCAGGCCGACCAGGTCACATGACGGCCACGGACATTAGTAAAGACCGAGAGGGATCATCGGGGGATAGAAACACCCAAGCTAATGTTCGTTGTAAAAGCTCCAGATGGCTAATAGCCATAGTCCGAGACCTCCGCCACGACATCTCTTCGCCTCTAACAGTGTTATCGATCCTGAGTACGGAGTAGAGTGGGACCCCTAGTTGCCCGCTGAGCACCCCAGAAATCATGTCGACGCAGGACCCCACGACTGTCTATTCTCCGGCGGCGGTGGCCCCGCGATCCGCTACGAGGCCGCCACGAGTCCTGTCTTGCGTGCTGTGCCAGCAGCGCAAGGTCAGGTGTGATCGCGAATTCCCGTGTGCCAACTGCATCAGAGCTGGAGTTCAATGCATTCCTGCCACTGGTGCGCGCCAGCGGCGTCGCAGGTTCCCCGAGCGAGAGCTGCTGGAGCGTCTGCGGCGCTACGAGGCCCTGCTTCGTCAGAATAATATCCCATTCGACCCATTGCACAAATCTACAGCAGAAGGGCCGTGCCAACGCGAGCATCCCAGAGGATCAAGTGCCCTAGACGAAACAGCAGACTTCACTGTGGGAACGGATCAACTGTCAAACGAGCAGAAAACAGTAAAGTGTGAATATTCAAACGAGGCTAAGTAAGACTTATGTTAGAGATATATATTCCCAGAGGACTAACCGCCTTCAGGAATTTCTGGTATCTTATGAATCAAATGGTATAAGTATGAACACTAATGGGTTTGTGTCTTACTGACAATGTAGTAATAGTCCCTAGGTTCTGGGGATGAGGATAATAATGATGAGGACACTGACGGAAACGATAGCAGTCGCCCGCAGGACGATGTGCGTGAGACTGTGGTTAATAAGGCGTGGGATCAAATATATCAAAGCCACGAGCAAGACCTTCTCTTTGGTTCATGTAGCACAAACGTCGATATTTCTACTCTGCACCCAGGTCAGGTCCAGATCTTCCGGCTGTGGCAGGTCTACTTGGACAATGTGGACCCTTTGCTTAAAGTCACTCACACCCCTATGCTGCAACCACGCATTATTGACGCTGCCGGCGACGTGGCAAATATTAGTCCTACATTCGAAGCACTAATGTTCAGTATATATTGCGTATCTATATTGAGCCTTGGCGAAGACGAATGCCATGCCAATTTTAGGACGCCGAGGGATGATCTTCTGAAAAGGTACCAGTTCGCATGCCAACAAGCTCTACTGAAATGTGGGGTTTTGCGTACTAGTAGTGTTGAGTGCTTGACAGCATTGTATTTGTACCTGGTAAGCGCACCAAGTGGCGATCTTGCCTATACCCTTCTAATTGCCAC